TGAGCTATCTGGATGGGGGGCTGAAGCCCCCCAAATACAGTCTCCTTCAGCCGGGGGGGATCTTGCCCCTGGGTCTCCAACAGGCGCCCCTCGAGGCCTGGGTAGCAGGGCTGCTTCTCAAAGAGCTGGGGTTTGGGCTCCGGCCCCTCCAGAGGGTACAGACACGCCTGCCTGGGTTTCTGCAGGTACTTCCTAGGGGTCAGCAGGCTGGCCTGGCCTGGCTGCTCTGGGCAATGGATGCTGGGTTCCTTGCTGCCCTGGCCACACTCCTTGGTACCCACTTGGACCTCCAAGGTCAGCGCCTGTCCGGCTCCTGTCCGCCCCCCGCACGAGCTGAGCAGCTGGCTGGCGGGAGCAGGCGAGGAGTAGCTGCTCTCTGCCTTGATCTCCTCAGCCAAGAGAGCCAAGGGCTGGGGGTGCTGCCGGGCCCGGGACTTGGGCTGTCTCTTCCGCGCCCCCTCCGCCTCGCCCTCCGGCACATCCCGCAGGCCGCGCTTCCTGGTGAAGCGGCGCCGGCGGCGCAGGAAGCTGCCGTTCTCGAACATGTTGTAGCAGTCGGGGTCCAGGGTCCAGTAGTTGCCCTTGCCGGGTTTCTTGTCGTCCCGGGGCACCTTGACGAAGCACTCGTTGAGCGAGAGGTTGTGACGGATGCTGTTCTGCCAGCCCTGCTTGTTGTCCCGGTAGAAGGTGAAGCGGCCCATGATGTACCGGTAGATGCCGCTCAGGGTGATCCTCTTCTCCGGGGTGCTCTGGATGGCCATGGTGATGAGGGCGATGTAGCTGTAGGGGGGTTTGGTCACCTCGCCCATCTGGGAAGGGGCCCCGCTGCCAGCACTCGGCCCGCTGCTCTGGGGTGGCTCTGAGCTGGGGCATGGAGCTAGCACCATCCCCAGGTTGCCGCAGCCTCCTTGGTCGCAGACGGGAGGCAGGATGCGCAGAGAGGAGGCAGGGATGGGATACTCCAATTGCATCCTTTCCGGGCAGGGATCCCTCCCGTCCCGTGGCCGCTGCGAACTCCCAGCTCCAACTCCTGTGGAAACCTTGTTCCAACTCGGTTAAAACTCTGCTGCAGCCCAGCCTCCCGCCTCTGAAAAAGGCGAAAGGGGGCGGAAAGTCCCTCCTCTTGCCCAGAGCGTTGTGGGGGCCGCCTAGGGCGGAGCGAGGGGCAGCGGGAGCTGATAATCCGTCTCCTGTTCATTCTCGGAGGTTCCTGAGCCAGACGGCTGGGGAGGAAACACAACCAGGCTGCTGGTGGATCCAGGGCACGCAGTATTGCTGTTCCCAGACAGAGTGGGTGGGAAGCAAGGGGGGTGGAAGGGACAGGGAGGGAGGGAGGTGGGAGCTCAGTGCCAGGCTCTGTCCTCGGGGGAGCCCTGGGGTGAGGCAGCCTGGGTTTTGTGCCCGCGTTCTCGCTGGGCATCCCGGGCTCTGATCCTCACTCACGCTCCCTCTTTTGAGGGCTCTTAGGGCTCTTTCCCTCCCCTCACCCCATCTTTTCTGGGGGTCTCAGATCTCCTGGGGATCTGCCCACCATGGCTCTCCCTAGCTCTGTGCACTGGCTTTGTTATCAAATGTTTAATGTTCAGTGCCCCCTGCCTGCCCCCCCCCGGCAAGGGAGACTGGGGGAGGGAAGAGAATGGTGTGGGGAGACTTTGGGCTTTTTAGGGGATCCCCAAGGGGAGGAGGAAGGGGATGCAGAGCTGGCAGTCACCTGGCTGGTTTTTGACCAGCCTGGCCGGTTTTTCTGTGCCCATGTGCCAGTCGGGGGACGTGGCATGCCAGGGGTAACTTGGCAGCTGGCCACATGCATTGCAGCGGGGGGCACACGCGGGTCCAGTGGCCAGGGGTGGGGCTTCCAGTGGGGGTGAGGTGAGGGGGCTTGTGGGCAGTGGGGTCAGGCTTCTGGGGGTGGGGGGGAAGGTCAGGTTGGGTGTGAGGGGGCATGGCCAGTGGCCTGGTTTTCTGTGCCTGGGAGGTGGCACCCGAGAGGTGGCACCCGAGAGGCAAGGCAAGGCAGGGCAGGGGGAGGCTGCAGGGGAGGGGGAGGCAGCGTGTCACCATGCACAGGGTGCTGGGGTCGCTGGCACCCTGGGTAAGAAGGAGCTAGTTTGTCCTGGCAGAATAAACTCCTCTAGGCTCCTGGCTCCCTCTAGCGGAGACTTGGGCTGTTAATAACAGTAACACTGAGCCCTCCCCTAGGTAGACTTTACAAAGGATTACTACTGAAGTATTATTATCCCCATTTTACCGATGGAGTGGGGAAACTGAGGCACTGGGCAGTGCAGTGATTTGCCCAAGGGAACCCAGCAGGCCAGTGGCAAAGCCAGGACTCGACCCTAGACTGGGACTCAGTTGTGCTCAAGCCACTAGGCCACGCTGCCTCCCCGGTCCCTGTTTCTGAGGCCAGGTTCCCTCCTGCCTCACTAGCCCGAGTGGCTGCTCTCTGCAGCCAGTCCCCGCCTCGCTCTGTGCCAGGTCCTGTTCCCGGGGCAGTTTGGTTCTCGCAGCCTATAGCCCGTGCCCTGGCTTTGGAGCCCTTTGGGGGAGCATGCCCACTGCCCAGAGACCCCTCTGCAGGGAGCGCTGGTGATTTCACAGCAGGGAGTCCCGGCTGGCACTGGGCACCCTGGGGCAGTGGGGTTTTCTCTCTCTGTTGCTCACCCAGCTGTTTCCTGAGGTTTATGCGTCTCGTTTTCCCTGATTTACTCTCCACGGGGTCTCCTCGCGGTGCTCACCATGAGGCTCTACTCGTGGGGTAGCATCTGGGGCCTCCCACCCTCAGCCCTGCAAGCACAGCTGTGTCCACCTCTGGGCACTCCCGTGGAGGGCGTCAGTGACAGCCTCTCCCAGGGAGTGACTCTCAGGGCTAGCTCTTGCGGACACGGACTCCTGACTTTTCCAGCATTTCCCTGCTGTTGGGCCAGGTCCCGTCCGGAGCCCAGGTAACCCCACCGCTGTGCGGCTGGTGCCCAGGGACCGAGTGCAGTGCCTTGTGGGTAGGCTGGAGAACAAGCGGGTAGCAGGATGGAGAGGTTGGAGGCGAGGCGTGCGGAGGCCCCATGCGTGGGACCGCAGGTGACGCGTGGCCGGGTGAGCTGAAGGGAAGGCGATCGGGAGCCAGGATGAAGAGGGAGGCCAGGCGTGCAGGACAGGGGAGGAGGGCTGTCCCACAGGCAGCGTGTTGAGACCTGTCCTAGAATGCAATGAGCCCAGCCGAGTTGTACGGCAGGGCCGGGGGCCAAGGCGCCTTCGCTCCCCTGGGAAAGGACACGAGCGCGCCAGGGCAGAGCCAGGGGCCTGCAAAGCTTCCCCAGGGTTGAAGCTGATGAAAACAGGAGGGGGCTCTCAGGCAGGAGGTGGAAGGGGTGCTCCCCTGCGAGCTGCTCCTCACCCCCACCGCCCGCCCCCTCCCCAGAAAGTCTCCCCAAGGCCATGCGGGGGAGGGGTGTGGACCCTTCTTTGCGAACCTCTGCTCTCAAATTCACATGCTGGCTGCTGCAAGCCAACAGGCGTCTGCTGAGGCGAAGCCAAGCGTGCTGCCTATGCTGTACTCAGGCTGGAGCCAGCAAACAGCCCCCTCCCGTCTAGTCCCCGCTCTGTGCCCCTCTTGGCCAAGCCAAGAGCAAAGCTGAAATACACGGGGGGGGGGCAACTGGCTCCTCTGGCGCTGCCCTTGGGCTTGCAGCAGGGGCTCTGACATGCCTGTGACCTTTCCTGGGGGAGGAGTCCCTGCAGCAGGCTCAGCCAGTAACAATCTTGCACCCGTTTTCAAAGCACTCTGCAAAGGGCGTCCAATCAGCCCAGTGATCGGGGAGGCAGTAATATCCCCTTGTTACAGAGGGGGAAACTGAGGCACCGAGCCGGGACGTGACACACAGTCACTGCCAGGGCTGGGGTTAGACATCAGGAATTCACGGCTCCCAGGCCCAATCCATGAGCCCATGCCAGCCTCTCACCACAGAGGATGGGGCCATCCCAGGAGCTGGGCACTGAAGCACCCAACTGGGCACCGGGCACCTCAGAAAGTTCCTTCAGGCCATGTCCCAGGTGGAGGAGAGGAGCCCTAGGCCACCCCAGCATTGATCCCGGGAGCCTGGGAGGCAGGCCAAGGTAGCGCACTCATCTCCCAGCTGGGAGAGCCAGGCCTGGGGAATGAGCCCTCGCTTTAACCTCTCCTCAGATCCGGAGCTAACGCCGCTCCTGCCTGCTCTCCGCTAGATGGCACCTGCGGGCCGCAAAGCCACTGCGGGGACTCACTCTCCAGAGCAGCCAGCGCCCTCAGCAGGGAATTCCAGGGCAGCTGCTCTGGGCTGAATGCACCTGCCCCGTGGGGCTGCTGGGCACTGGATTCACATGGCAAAGTTTGGAGCTATCGCTCCCCAGCCCAGGGTGGGGGAATGGACGTAACTTTTACTGTCTCCGTTTTACTTTATTTTCATCAGCTGCCCTGAACCCACTTCCCTACCCTGAGCTCTGTGCTCCTGAACCAGCGTTTTTACTCACAGCCGTTACGGAAGGGCAGGTTCCCAGGGCCACGGAACTAACCATCTCCCTGCTGCAGCCGGAGAAATAAAATCACAGCGGCCAGGGTACAAAAATCAACACTTCTTCTGTAACAACGTAACCCGCCACGTCCCAGAGCCCATGTCGTACTCCAGTAGCGCCACGTCACAGCTATCCTGCCACGGATCAGTCTGGGAGGAAGTCCCATTGCCTGAGCTCCGGATAAAGAGCATGCCTCCCCCAGAGAGGGGCTAATGCAACTAGATCTACAGGGCTGATTCCAGGGCTACCCCATAGAGCAATCCAGGCTCTAGTCCTTATGTGCAGCGGCTGGCTGGGTCCCTCCATGCTGTGTTATGCAAGGCTACTCCCGGGTTATAGGGCCTCCATTAGAGACAGGTGTGTGCGGGGTGGGCACGATCTTTTCCATGCTACACAAGCTCGACTGTGAGTGGGGTCGAGGCACCTTGCTGGCCCCGTCTTCCTCTACCGGGAGCTCAGGGCTGGCACAGCTGCTTCAGGATCTGGGTGATGTGGCTGGAAGCATCAGTGGCATACGGCTGTGAGGAGTCGCGCTGTGACAGCGGTCCCATGCGCTGGGCATGAAGGAAGAGTTCTCGCGCAAACACTGGCTCAACCTGCAGTGCAAGAGAGCGGCCGGGTCATTGCAGGCAGACAGACTGTGCGTGGGCAGGGCCATGCTCTGCCTTACAGCTCACCCCGGTCACCTCCCTCGCTCCCCGGCACTCACTGGCTGCCTCTTTACAGCACGCACCGACCTGGCAAGCTGCACTCCTGCGTGCCCAGCACAGGGTGGGCTGGGATCTACGAAACCTCAGGCTTCCTCTCTGGCCAGCCAACGTGCCCTGCAGCGGCATGTGTCAGAGCTGCCGGGCGCCCGCTGCTGTGCCCTGCTTTGCACCAGGGCTCGGGAGCACGAGTTACAACCCGCAGCTCAGGGCGATGGAGACAGCCGCGGAGACTCGGTTAGTAAAGACTTGACGAGAGGGAAAGGGAGAGGGAGCCCGAAGGAGAGGAGAACTGGCAGCCCATGTTCCTCCCCCACAGAGGCGCCGACCCTGTGGGTGCTCCGGGGCTCAAGTACCATGGAAAAAAATAGGGGGTGCTCTGCACCCACCAGCCACAGTGGCCCCAGGGCTGGTCGCTGATCAGTGAGCGGTGGGCAGGCGGTGCCCAGGGGAGGGGTGGAGAGGAGCTAGTGGTGGGTGGGCGGGGTGGAGACCTGGGAGGGGCGGAGCAAGGGTAGGAAGAGGCGGAGCAAGGGCGGGGCCTCAGGGCAGAGCAGGAGAAAACAGAAGTCAGCGCTTGTACCCCAGCCTGGAGTTCACAGGGGCCACGTGACAGACCCTGGCCAAACAGCTGGCCAAGTCCAGCATAGCCCCCTCTGCCTGCCCCAGATACTCACGTGGGCCATGATGAGCTTCTGAAAGTTCTGGCTTGGGGTGGGGGGATACTCCTCTCCGAAGCACAGGCGGATCTGATACTGGGGCGTGGGCTCCCCACGACTCAGGTAGCTCCGTAGTTCTGAAACCCACAAGCATTTCCAGACGTCACTTGGAGCGCTCTCGAGAGGCTGACACACACGGCCGGGGGCTGGACAGACCCTGCCCCGGGGGCTGATGGAGACACGACAGTCCAAAGGGTCTGCACCGGGGGAGGACCCTGCAGGGTCACTGGGATCTTGGGGCACGGAGATTTCACTGGGCCACGCACAGGCCTCATGGGGAAGGCATGGATCTCTTAGAAGGAAGGAGGGAGGTAGCAGCCGGGGTGGGATTCATGCTAGTCCTCTCCCTGGGCAGTAGAGCCAGTGGGCTCCTTACAGCTCCCAAATGGGGGTCTCAGCGAGAAGAAACCCGTGGGTCGTACTGGTTCATCCCGTCCCAAAGCTAACTCCTACTCCTAAAACACAGGCTCTTAGCACCGGAGCCCAAGGAGAATCGCTGCTGGCAGTACAGGGCATATAACACACAGCTGAGCGGCTCTGATTCAACCCAGCACAGGCTAGCAGGGCACAGACCTTCCAGCCAGTTCAGTCCCATATTCTTCCCTATTCTGTAACGTACTAGAGCACAAGCGCCTCCCAGGCCCTGGTCACTGAGGCAAAGAGCAAGTGCCCAGTGGGTAGGGCAGGACGAGACGGGCTGTATGCTCCTCTCCTCCCCATGCCCTTTGCCCAGGTCTCCCAGCCCCCCCGAGCATGTCACTGCCATGCCCTTGAGCTGCCCCTGGGCACACTGAACGGGCACGTACGCTGCAGGAACTGCTGGGTGTCCAGGAGCTTGTAGGTTTTCTCTCTCTCCAGCTTGTTGGGCTGGTCGTTGTGAGGCGCCATGGGCCCGTTCCAGTACACCCTGCCTTGGCACTGCCGCTTCATGAAGACGCCTTCAGGGGCCACCCACAAGAGGACGCCCCGGTCCAGGTGGGGAAGAAGCCGTTCCAAGACGCCCGTCACGCCCGCCATCCTGCTGTCGCCGGTCAGCAGGCGGGGGGAGGGGAACTGGATCTGCTCCATGGAGGACGGGCCGTAGAGTCGCTCGTTGTCAGCCGGCACCAGGCGGTAGGTGATGCGGCAGCCCTCGGCGGTGCGGGTGGTGAACTCCTTCACCAGCACGTCGCGGTAGTAGAGGCGGACGTGCAGCCAGCAATCTGGGGGGGCAGGAGAGGGAAGAGGGGTCAGGAAGTGGGGAAGCTCCCAGGGACAATGGATGAAAGTTGGGGGCCGGCGGGTCACTGACGCTCAGTCAGGGCACTGAATGGGCCCTTCGGCCACTGACGGCCCTGGGCCCAGCTCCCCGGCTCAGACAGAGCCGAGCCTCCCACCAGCAATCCCAGGGAACCACCTGGAGGAACGGACACGCTGGAAGATAGCCCAGTGCTGCAGGGCTCTAGAGCGCCAGGTAACACCCCCTGTTCCATGCCGCCTCCGCCCGCCGGAGGGGAGCGGTCACAGTGCTGTGCTACCAGGAGCCGGGGCCATGCGCTCAGCACTGCCCAGAACCCCAGTGCAGGCCGGGGCCCGGCCCCCAGCCGAGCTGGGTGTGGCTCCTGCGGGGAGCTTGCAGCAGTGGAGGGCGCAGCGGGGGACCTGCCGGGCGGCTGCCTAGAGTTAGGCCAGGAGGCGTTGTGGAGGGGAGGAGGGATGTCGGAGCTGGGGCCAGCCGCTCCCAGACGTGGGCCAGGCCCGGGAGCTTAGGCACCGTTCGCTGGAACGGCGAGCACCTGGTGCTGTGAGGGGCAAGTCCCTTGGCAGGAAACCCAGCCGGGCCCAGCGTGCCCTGCATCGGAACACCCGCCCCCACACGAAGGCAAAGCCGGGCAGAGCGGGATTTACACCCCTTCCCGATTCCATCCGGTAAGTTAGAGCAGCCCCAGGGTTGCGAGCTGCTGCTCATTTACAGCTCGGTGTTTGTGTTGGGGGAAGGGGAAAATGAAGGGCAAACCCCTAATTCCCCTATGTGCACACGCTTAACTGAAAACACTGAATGAGCCTTGGAAGGGACAGAAAGCCAGGGGTCACCCCTTGATCCCATAGCCATGCTGGGGCCCTCATAGGTGCGTGTGCATCTCTCCAGCCAGGACTGGGATCCCACTGGCAGAGCCCAGCAGAACCTTAGCACCCAAACTGCAGGAGGGCACTTCAGTTCCCGACGGTCTGGAGACCCCGAGCCCCGGAATCCCAGTGGTGGGTTAAATTCTGGCCTCACTGAAGTCAATGATTTCAATAGGGCCAGGGTCTCCCCCTCTGCCTCCGTCCCCTGTGCAGCAGAGGGGGAGATCCCAGGCTGGCCCCCTTCCATTCCTCTACCTGAGTTGTTGATGTCTGCAGTGGGGACGTGATTGGAGCTGGGATCACCCGGCTGTGGGCTCTGCAGAAAGCGAGCGTGTGTTGGGCTCCAGCCACAGAAAACCCCTTTCACATGATACCCTAGGAACAAAACAGAAACCGAGCGTGCAACGTTATCCACTCTCAGAAACAGTCCTGGGCAGTCAGTCTAATGCCCTCTTTGCCTCGGGAGAGAGGGGGAGTTTCCCCTGAGCACAGCACTTGTTATTGGGGGCCCAGGCTTTTCCCAAGGGGGGGGCAGACAGCCCGTGAGCTGGTGAGCTCCTCTCTGGCAGTCTGTATGCCCTGCAGGAACAGCCATCTGGGAAGCAGCAGAGCAGTGCTCAGAATGGCCCATGTTCCCACAGATTCGTGGCAAATCTCTTCTCTCTCCCACCCGTGCAGCCCCACAGAACAAAGTGTGTCTGGCGGGGAGAGGGCGAGCAGGATTTGTGCCTGGAGTTTAGATGTTCTGTCTATTAGCACCTGGGCAACAAACGCCCTCGCCTGTAACTCTCTCCCTGTTCTTCCTCTCCCACCCCTGCTCTCCTTTCCTCAGCCATGTGTTCCCGAGATCTACAGAGCATGGGGCTGCTCTGTCTGCATGCACCTGACCTTTCTGACAGCAGCCAACAGGTTCATTATATGGCTCCCATAGGCAGCTGACAGAGACTAACAACAGAAAATATTGTGCCCTTCATCCGCGCAGCTCAAAGCACTTGCCAAACAGGGCTGGATCAGGGCCCTGAGCACCCTGGCGCGAAGTCCTGTTGCACTCGTTATACGGAGGAGTGGAGTGAGGCACCAAGAGGTGACTAAGTAACTTGGCCAACGTCAAAGAGGGAGTTAGTGGCAGCGTTGGGAACAGAACCCAGGAGTTCTGCCTGTGTTCTTGAGCTCTACTCATTAGACACACTCCCACAGCTGCTCTGAATCGGGAGCCAGAAACCCAGCCAGGCTGACAGCCCTTTGCTCGCTGCTCAGGAAACTCTTAAAAGTCCCTGGAAGTAAAATGATCAAAAGCAGGTTCCCAGGTTCTGACCAACACGCTACCTAATTTATGGTAACTCCGCTGCTCTTCACTGCAGAGCAGCCGTGTGCTAGGTAGCGTATGTCAACGAGCTATGCCCTGCATACACTGCCGAAATTGAGCGCCATAGCCCTGGGCCGGGGCTTTGGGGGTACGCAAGACAAATCAGCCTCCTGAAAGGGCTCCAGGAGTCTGGAAAGGTTGAGAACCACTGTGTAACTAAAACCCGAGTCAGTGCAGGGACCGACGGAGGGTATGTTTCTTTCGCAGGCTGCTGACAAGAAGCACTGAGTAAAGTGAACTAATTTAGCTCTGAGTTGGGGCATCATCTGTTAGTGTAGCTAGCATCCTGGCTGGAATATAGTTACCAGAGATGGGCAGAGCTACCATGGTTTCAGATCCGGATCCAAAGTGCAGGGGTATTTGGATCGCTGGTTCTGGTCTGTGCCCATGTCTCATAGTGACAGAACTCACTCAATTAAAGGGAACTCTGAAAAAGAGTAGGGGATTCCTGTAATCATCGGGGAACTAGAGGGTATCAGAAGCCAGCCCAGACTCTGGGGGAGTTTGGACCCAGACTTTAAGGCTCGGGACCATCCCTGGTGAGAAGCAGTGAGGGGGGTGAATAAGAAATGAGTGAAACTAATCTTAAAAAAATCAAAAATAACATCTTTAGCAACTGCTCTCGTGGGTACTGGTAAGGAGATGAGAGGCTGGGAATGGACAAGTCCCCTTCCTTACCCCAGTCTGCCGGATGACTTGGTAAGTGGGAGACCAGAGGGACTGGAGAAGTCTGGGAGGTCTCCATCAGATCCTTCTTCCCATCCTCTTCCAAACCCGAGGACACGCTAGCCTTGGAGGAAGAGAACAGAACCCATGAGAACAGAATGAAGGGAGGAGTCAAGCAAAGACCTGGGAACCAGGTGACCTGAGTTCTATTCCAGGCTCTCTGGACAAATCACTTCCCTGCTGTCCGTGCCTCAGTTTCCCATGTGTAAAATGAGGACAGTCCTTGCCTACCTCAAAGCAGGGCTGCAAGGCTCTCAGCTAGATGTTTGTAAAGCTCTTTGAGATCCTTGGATAAAGGGCACTAGACGGGTACAAAGTATCATGAAATGAAAGTAGCCAGAGACCTGCGTGGGACACCCGTAAAATACCAAGCCTTGTTATCAAACCTGGAACCCATGTTCTCTGTGGGGCAGACAAGAGAAAAGTCAGTGCAGATGATAACCTCAACCCACTCGCACCTTGTCTGGCCCGCAGTTAACTCCCCTCTCCGGGTCCCCGGGGGCTGGGGGCTGGCTCGCCTGCTGTTCTTCAGGGGGAGGGGACTCCAGGCTGCCTTCCTTCTCTGCAGAGATAACACAAAATCTGTTACTCGCCTGAGAGCAATAGAGCTGCTGTGAGAATACTCGTGCTCCCTGGGATCTCTGCGCAGAAGAACGACTTCAGGCTCTTCCGTCCACTGAAAAGTGTGGCTCCACCGTTGCATAAGGAAATCAAACCCAGCACTTCCCCAGCTCCCAGCAACCTCGAATGAACCCCGAAAAGCTGAGGGACGACGTTTCCTGCAGGGTGAACGTATTCTGCCTGCTAAGTGCTTAGCATTGCTGAGCTCTGGGTGTGCTCCTCGTAACCTGGACACGCTCCATCTTCCCAAAGCCGGCTCCAGGGCATGCTGAGCGGCTGGAAGAGCCATGCTGTAGAATCAGGACCCGTTTCCTCTGCCAGTTCCCCACCCAGGTGGTAGGGAGGGTTTGCTGCTGGCGGTTATTTCCTTCTGAACATGGCAATGCACCAGCACGGGCACTGCCCTGCCTAGCTCCCGTGTGGCACTGGGGATAAGAATGTCCCATTTGGCATTTAACTGTTCCTCTCCCTCAGGCCCAAACCTGGGTGCTCTCTGCAAACGAACAAATGTACCCAGCGCAGACTGGATCCCGGCAGAGGAGGGTGATTGGGAAGGGACCAGCGTAGGGAAAAGTGACTCTGGATTGGGCCCTGTTTGTGAAATAGGAGGGGTGGGAAATGCTTCCCGTAAAGGAACAAGAAACTGTGGCTCCATCTCAAGTTGGAAGAGGCAACCTCCCTCCCGAGGTCCCGCGGACGCCATACCGGGGTCTCTGGCTCCATCCAACAGGATCTGGTACACTTTGTACGGCTCGGAGATGTCCAGCTGGCTTCTTTCGGGGACCTCCTGGAAATCGGTGCTTTTGTTCAAGGCGCACCGGAGACGGGTTTTCCAGGTGGAGGGGTCTGCCTTTGTTCCTTCCTGGTATTTCCCTTTGTAGACAGCCCAGGCCTGCAACGGCAAGGAAGCGGGCAAAGGCTGCCCAGCACTTCGCCCTGCAGCCACACGAGGTGCCACCTCACCGAGCCTCTTGAAGAACCAGGCAGGTCCCAGCTTAGCAGCTGCCTGGCGCAGCACAGGTGCCTGCTGCCAGGAACAGCCCTGGCGAGACGGGCACCAGCCCCAGTGTGAGGGGCTGCGGGTGGCGCAGGTCAGGGGGTGGGTGGCAGGAGACTGGTGGGGAGGTGGCAGAGGGCCGGGGCGGGGGGCGATGGGAGAGGCAGAGGAGGGAGGTGCTGGAGCTGGAAGGGAGGGTGGGAGCAGGCGCTGGGCGCAGAAGCGTCACGCTGCGATTTGTCCCACGCCCCGGGGGCTGGCTGCAGGCTCCGAGCTCTTTCCCCGGGGACCTGCTCCGCCCGGCTCCTGCCCGCCGCCCCACGTGCCCGCCCGGTACCTTGAAGAGCGCCGCGTCCTGCTGCTGCCGATAGTCCTGCTTGGCGGCGTGTTTCCAGGGGATGCGGAAGATGGTTTTCTCGCGGTTCTCCCAGCGCAGCCCCGGGTACCTGCCGCTGTCGATCTGGGCGATGAGCCATTCCTTGAGCCGCATGTGGCTCCCGGTCTCCGCCATGTGCGCTGCCCTCGCCAGCCGGACCCTTCCCAGCCTTCCTAGCCCCGGCGCCCCGCGCCTCTCCCCGCCGGTGCGCCGCGCCGCGCACCGGGCTCTCCACTCCGCGGGACCCCAAAGCGCCCGGCCTGGAAAGTTCAGCTCCGAGCCCGGCTCTCCCCGCGATCACCCGGCTCCCCCAGGCCCTGCCCTGCGCGCTGGCCGAGCCCCGCGGGAGCGGGCCGAGCAGCGGAGCCAGGCGGGCGCGGGGTGAAGCGCCCACGGGGCGCAGGCACAGTCTGTGTCCCCGGAGAAGGTGCTGGAGCAGGCGGGACGAAACCGAAAGAGCAGCGTAAGGGCGATTTCACTTTCTCTTTCCTGCGGCCGCTGCTTTCAGTTTTGTGTAGGAACTAAGGGGCTGGAGCCTCAGGGACCGGGGATAAGGGGCTGGACCCCCCTATCCCCAAGCAACATGGGTCAAGGAGCACCCCACCTTCCCAGGACCATGGAACAGGGACCCCCCATTCTCCAGGGGACTGGAGCGGGGATTGTTCTCCCCCAGGTGCCATGGGGCTGGGACTAGCCAGATGGTGACCCCTGGGTCAGGGCCTAGGTTATAGTGCCCCACGATGTTAGCTCGGTGCCTAGCTGTGTGGATGGGACCAGGGCAGAGCAGGGCTCAGTGACTGCTTCCTGCAGCGCTCAGCAGGGTTGGGAGCGTGGTAGGACAGCGCTGTCTGTGCAGGGAAGGTCACAGCCTGTGACAGCTCCTGCGGAAGAGCCTGTTCTAACCCCGTCCACCAGCTGGAGTGGAGCCCGGCAGGCTCCAGGGGCTACCAAAAATTGGTTGCCTGCTAGCGGTGGGTCTTTAAGAACAGGTGGGAGGACATTGCATGGCAACCATATGGAAACCTGGACCCAGACCTGGTTGTTGCCTGGGTCCAGGCTTCCCTGTATTTCCCACAGCTCCTTGCCGTGGCTGGAAGCCAGAGTTGCTGGGTTATTACTGGTCTTCTCCAGTGAACAATCAACTTTTTCATAAAATGCAGCTGGTTTTGGCCCTGGGTCAGTCACCAGCTGCTTATTGACCACAGTGCAGTGCTGTCAAGGTACTGTTCAGCCCGGTCATAGAATATCAGGGTTGGAAGGGACCTCAGGAGGTCATCTAGTCCAACCCCCTGCTCAAAGCAGGACTAATCCCCAGGCAGGTTTTTATACCAGTTCCCTAAATGGCCTCTCAAGGATTGAACTCATAGCCTTGGTTTTAGCAGGCCAGTGAGCAAACCACTGAGCTATCCCACCCCCCATCTTTGAGGTTGTCTTGCTCCCCCCCAGCCTGAGGCTGTAACTGGGGGTTTATAATGGGAAACAATGGAGCAAAATCTATAAATAAAAAGGTGACCTTGTCACTGTCAAGCAAGTTACCGAGAGATGGGTTCATTTGGGGCTATAGCTGGTAATTCGCTGAAATGAATCATTGAGCCATTTCCAGCTAGTAACTGGATAATAATGGAAGGAACTTCCCGCTGAGCCATGGGCATGGACAGCCTCCCAAGGTCAGGCCTGTTTGCCCATTACTAAAGTGTTGGTAATGGAAATACGTTCAGGAGCTGGAAGATGACCAGTGCTGGGCCGGGCCAGCGTATGGCATTGGCTGTGTCTTCACTGCCAGAAGCAGAGCATTGCACAGCGAGAAAGCCCTGTAGTTTTTAGCTCGCTGTAGCTAGTGTGACCCAGCCGTGCGCAGGTGGGTTTATCGCCCCATGTCCAGCCATCTTCTAAATATTTCACGCAAGGGCGGTCATGTGGGGTCTCTGCTGAAAGCTAAGTCCTGGCCATTGCAAGAGGTTTGCACGGGAAACAGTTTGAGAGCCACATAACACATAGAATATTATGTTCCAAATCCTCTGGGAATGCAACCTAACACCTGACGAGTGGGAGGCTGAGAGCTGACCCAATCAACATGGGAACAGGGAGCACCCGTGAAGACAGCCTGTATTTACTGTCTCAGCAAGATGCAGGCTGGAGGAATTACAGTACAAAGACAAATGAACCCCAGGAGAGTTCTCGCAGGAGGGGGCTACCTGGGCTAAGAGACAATAGCTTGTGATTGTGTAAGAGCACAGGAAATGGCCCAAGTGGGCTCAGTTACAGAGGAGTGACTCTACCAGCAGGTGCTGTCTCATGAAAATTGGTTCCTAGCTTTTGGAACTAGAACAGAGCTGCGAGAAATAACCAGTGAGTGAGAAATAACTTGTCAGACAGGAAGGTAACTTGTTATGAAGTAATGGCTACAGATTGCAGTTTATGTTGTTCTTACCCAGTAACCTCATGTTTCCAAGTCCTTATCCTGGCTTTCAGTCGAATCTCTATTTCAAGCTCTGTTAAATAAACTTCAGTTTGGTTTTACTATAAGCCTGTCTAAGAGTTTGCCCTAAGGAGAGTGTTGAATGCAGGTGAAACCGGTGAAGTGGGGAGCGCTGCTTCCATGGATGGGTGTGCCCAGCAGGGGTCCACAATAAGGGACTGAGCATTCAAGTGTAATAAAGTGTAACGAACTAACCCGGAGCCCAGAGCAGAGCGCCTGTGTCTCCAGTAGCCAGTGGCCGGGGGGAGTTTGCCCTGGTGGGCATGGACAGGGCTCTGTCCCACTGTAAGCAGGTGGTAGTAATTTACCATGGACACCTGGGGCAACCTCCAAAAATGTCACAACTAGTCAATGTCAAGCCTATGCCCCCACCTGGGATTAATCTCAGCTAGCTGCACTGAGGTTGAAACTACCCTTGAGTGTGTCTTCACTGCAAGGAAAGGTGTACTCTGAACATGGGTTAGCTAGCGAGTTAGCTAACCTGGGCTAAAATAGCAGTGAAGACACGGCAACTCACCTCTTAACTCAGGTTAGCAGCTCAGGGTGAAGCCTGCAGGGGAGCCTGCAAACGGCTAACCCCACTTTAAAGCTGAGTTGCTGCCATGTCTTCTTCACGGCTGCTTTAACCTGAGTTCACTGACCCACAGGGGGAGGGATAGCTCAGTGGTTTGAGCATTAGCCTACTTAACCCAGTGTTGTGAGCTCAATCCTTGAGGGGGCCAGTTAGGTATCTGGGGCAAAAATCTGTCTGGGGATTGGTCCTGCTTTGAGCAGGGGGTTGGACTAGATGACCTCCTGAGGTCCCTTCTAACCCTGATATTCTGTGATAAGTTAAAAACACACCTTTTTTTTTTTTTTTTTTTTTTGCAGTGGAGACAAACCGTCAGTCTTGTCTCCTCTAGGGTTTTACAGACTGCAAAGAGAAACAGCAGAACTACAATTCATTTGCAAATTCAACACCATTAATCTGGGCTTGAATAGGGACTGGGAGTGGCTGGCTCATTACAAAAGCAGTTTTTCCTCTCCTGGAATTGACACCTCCTCATCTATTATTGGGAGTGGACTACATCCACCCTGATTGAATTGGCCCTGTCAACACTGGTTCTCCACTTGCAAAGTAACTCCCTGCTCTCCATGTGTCAGTATATAATGCCTGCATCTGTAACTTTCACTCTATGCATCCGAAAAAGTCAGGTTTTTACTCACGAAAGCTTATGCCCAAATAAATCTGTTAGTCTTTAAGGTGCCACCAGACTCCTTGTTGTTTTTGTAGATACAGACTAACACGGCTACCTCCTGATACTTGACACCCTGAGAGAACTATCCCAAGTTAGCTCTCTGGATATACAAACACACCTCTCTTTGCAGTGAAAACAAAGCTGCTGGGAATCAATGCAGTGACCTGCTGGTAAGGATATGTTCATGCCTTGACTAAACCTGGCCCAAAAATGGCAAACAATGTTGTGAAACATTTCTAAGTTGTATCTGGTTGACAGGGTTGAGAACAGCCTCTCTTTTCTGTGTTTTGTCAACTTCCGTGCCACATTTTTGGCCAAAAAATTAACCAATATTTTTATCCATATTTTTATTAAAATCATTTAAAGAAAATATGGTGACCAAAAGCCTGGTTTTTAGTAAGAAACGGAGGCTTCTTGTAAATGAAGAACGTTAATAACAATTTTGAAAGTGATTTCGGTAAAAATGTTTGGAAAAAAGGAATTTTTCAACCAAAAACTTTTAATACAAAATATTTTGGCCAAGTCTAGTCTTAATTTCATGGTCTTCTCCTTGCCCTGCTTTTGCCAGCAAAACCCCCTCATGCTGGGGGCGCGGGTGATTTCAACGAGAGCGATAAACATGGGGTCCAGCTCTCTGCAATGATATGGGTGGCAAATCATTTTCCTGGGCAGCCAGCAATATGCACCCCCCTCTGCATTCTAACCACGAGGTGGTCTGTTGTTTGGTGATCTGCTCAGAGGGGCGTTTGTGTGCTTTGTGTCTATGGAGCACACGCTGTCCGACAGCTTTCATACAAATCTCTGCTCTTCTCCATCTCACATCCAGGGCTTGTCTTCCTCCAGGGCTGCTCTGTTCTGTAGTGAGGTGAATGCTGGCGAAAGGGGCCAGATTAGCAGCTGGGGTAAAAATCCTTTATCCATAGAACAGAGAGAGTGTGGGCCAGAGCAGGACAAGCTCCCCCCTGCTGCCCTGCCAGTGTCTCTCAACCCTGGCCCAAGGATGTCTGTCTGCCCCGGCACTTCACAGCCCGCATCATTCTTGGTAAGACTCGCTGGCCCATTCAGTCCTTGAGCAGCACCATCGCCACTTAGTGCTGGTTCTGATGCTGGTTTGTGTGAGGTGGACACTTTGGCCGATAGAAATTTGTCAGAGCCCCACCAGACTCATTTGGCCCAGCCCAGTGACAGGGTGCGTGCGCCGACCCCATGCTGGAGCAGGGAAACAAGGGGTTAATTCCCAGCAGGGCCTGGCCTGGAACCATTTGGTGTGAGAAAGCTTTCAGCTGGTGGGCGTTTAACCAGGAACAGGACAGAAGCGGGGGAAGAGCTTGCTCAGAGGGGAAGGGGACTGGACAGGAACAAAGCCAGGAGACCTGGCGCGCCCCAGGGCTGGACTCTCCCTGGAGAGGCTGCAGGTGAGCGGCTCCATCGCAGGTTCTGTTTGTTGGAAAGGCTGGACGGAGCCTGCCAGGGCGGTCGCTGCTC